CTTGTCACTGAGCTTGTCGACTTTGCTGCGCGCTGTCGTCTAGACTACGCTGCTAGTCTTGTCACTGAGTCTGAGTCTGCCTGTCCTCTGTCCGTCGGGGGTGAGTGTGCCCTAGGCACGGACGTCCTTGAGGACAGGCAGGAGGAGTTCCTGTGTCTGGCCGCCGCTTAACCTCATCTCGCGTCTGTACTGCTCGCCCCTGAGGGAGACCCGGATGCACTAGACATCCCGACTCCGCGCTCTTACGCGGAGGCGATAGAGGGTCCCTACTCCTCTAAGTGGCAGGCAGCTATGGATGCAGAGATGGCTTCCTGGAAGCCTACACGCACCTACGTTGACGCTGTTCCCCCTCCTGGGGCGAACATCGTCAGTGGCATGTGGATCTTCAGGGTGAAGCGGCCGCCGGGTTCTCCGCCTGTCTTCAAGGCGCGTTACGTGGCTCGTGGCTTCAGTCAGCGGCAGGGAGTTGACTACTTTCAGACCTTCTCCCCCACCCCGAAGATGACCACTCTTCGGGTACTGCTGCACGTTGCTGCTCACCGTGACTACGAGCTGCACTCTCTCGACTTCAGCACTGCTTTCTTGCAGGGCAGCCTGCACGAGGAGATCTGGCTGCGTCGCCCACCTGGCTTCACTGGGTCTTTCCCTCCTGGTACCCAGTGGAGTCTCCGGCGTCCAGTCTACGGTCTCCGCCAGGCGCCACGTGAGTGGCACGACACACTGAGGACTACGTTTGCGGCACTTGGGTTTGCTCCTTCTACTGCCGACCCGTCGCTGTTTCTGCGCACCGACACCTCTCTGCCGCCGTTCTACATCCTCGTGTACGTCGACGACTTGGTCTTTGCCACAGCGGACACTGCTGGACTCGCCTACGTGAAGTCCGAGCTGCAGAAGAGACACACGTGCACTGACCTGGGTGAACTGCGCAGCTACCTTGGGTTGCAGATCACCCGGGACAGAGCACGCCGCACCATTACCCTGACTCAGTCACACATGGTGCAGCAGGTCCTTCAGCGCTTCGGCTTCACGTACTCCTCGCCTCAGGCCACTCCTCTGCCTACTCGCCACTCGCTCTCAGCTCTGCCTTCGGATGAGTCCGTAGAGTCGAGTGGCCCGTATGCAGAGCTTGTTGGCTGCCTCATGTACCTGATGACCTGCACACGACCTGACCTTGCATACCCTCTCAGCATTCTCGCACGCTATGTTGCTCCTGGGAGACACCGACCAGAGCACATGGCTGCAGCGAAGAGGGTGTTGCGCTACTTGTGCAGTACGTCGGGCATGGGGCTAGTGCTTGGAGGGCGCAGTCCAGTGGTCCTCACTGGGCACGCGGACGCTTCTTGGGCTGACGACCAGGCTACGCAGCGGTCGTCACAGGGTTACACCTTCAGCCTTGGTTCCGGCTCTGTTTCGTGGCGGGCTACTCGCTCATCTTCTGTTCTCGGCTCCAGTTGTGAGGCTGAGATCTACGCCGGGGCTATGGCTGCCCAGGAGCTTCGCTGGCTCACCTACCTGCTGACCGACCTTGGAGAGCCGCCTCGTTCTCCTCCAGTCCTGTACGTAGACAACAAGGCCATGCTGGCCTTGTGTCGAGAGCAGCGACTAGAGCACATGACAAAGCACATTGCTCTCCGCTACTTTCTTGCTCGTGAGCTACAGCAGCGTGGACAGTTGCGACTTGCGTACGTGGCCTCTGAGGCCAACACTGCTGATGTCTTCACCAAGGCACTTGCGCCTTGTGATCATCAGCGTTGCTGCACGCAGCTAGGTCTTGTGCCTGTCTTGCCTCACTTTCTCACTTCTTGACCTTGCTTGTACCTTGACCTATATATACTCTTGCTCTTGTTTCCTTGACTCTTGTTTATCTCTATATATGATCTTGCATGTGAACTGGCCTTGTGGCCCTTGAACTTGTGCTCGGAATGTGTGGTGACTTTGTGATCCACCATGAGCTTTGCTTTGCTTTGTTTGACTGGTCTTGTGACCCCTTGTTCTCCCCCACTTTGCCTATGGGGGTGTGTCAGAACATTATAGCTTATATATTTGTGTAGGCTATAGTGGGGTATCCCATAGGGGGTACAACCCAATTGGGGTTTCATATTTGTACTCACTTCATTCATAGTTCATCCATTCTCGTTCTTTCTTTCACAGACCTGCAACAAACTCCTTGACCAGTTTCAGGAGAACCTGGCGCAACGCGTGGACATCACCATCAACCTTGAAGTTAAGCAGTTTTTGGGGTTAAACATCACTTACGCGCCAGAGGCAATTCATCTGTCAGCCTCCAAGTACGCAGAGCAGCTGGGGGAACGCTTCAACATCTCTCCCGCACCACTCTCAACTCCCTACCGCAGTCCGAGCACCACCTACAAACCGGACAACAAACCTCTGTCGCCCGCAGGACTCCAAATGTACCAGCAAAAGTTGGGGTGCCTGCTGTTCGCCTTTGTCACCTGCCGACCCGACCTTGCCTACATTGCTAGCCAACTGGCGCAGTACTCTCGCAAGCCAGTGACAGAAAACCAGCTGGACCTGGAGCGCGCCCTAGAGTACTTCATCTCCACACCTGACATCGGACTCTCCTACTCCACACTGACGACAACCTCCTTCAACCTCAACGGCTACGTGGATGCAGACCACGTAGCTGATCCTGCAAATCGACGGTCCCGAACCGGCTTCGTTTTTCGCCTGGAACCAATTGGACCAATTTCCTGGAACTCCCAGAAGCAGGAACTGGTTGCCCTGTCATCAGCTGAAGCAGAATATATCGCCGCGACAGCAGCAGTCCGCGAAGGCCTGTACCTACAAGAGCTGCTGCAGGAGGCGAAAATTCCAACCTCGCCTACCTTTTGTCTCCACTGCGATAACCAAAGCGCCATCAAAATCGCGAACAAACCAGGATTCGTGAACCGGACGAAGCACATTGTGCTTCGATATTTTTTCGTCAAGGATGAAATCGACCAAGGCAAAGTGGACCTCGCTTACTGCCCAACCACCGAGATGGCAGCAGACTTTCTCACCAAGCGTCTACCACGTTAGCAGTACAAGCACTGCTCTGACCTCACCGGAGTAGTCAAACGAGTCAACTCCATCAGCACTCAGGAATGAAGGGGAGTGTTACGATGTGAAACTTTGCGAAGGCATTCCTGAATGTTGCAGGAGCCGACTCTACCGAGTACGAAGATGAGGAGTCAGAAAGAGCCGAAGCGACACAGCAACCGTCAGACTAAGACCGATGCAGGCAGAAACATTTGAAGTGAAAAGAGCGGGAACATGTTTTTTCCCGCGCCGCACGGTTTCTTTGAATTCAGTTGCAATAAGGGAATGTACCCCTTAGAGTACATGGCTAGTCTAGGACCTTTCGTATTCTCCTGTACTCTTATATAAACCCGATGTATGCATGTTATCATCATCTCAGTCATTTTACATTCACTCTGACCTGAGGTCTAAGACTTCCGCTGCAATACCACTCTGCGATCAATCCTGAGCGATCCTTTGCTAAGTCCCATTTGGGATTGTAACAATTTTGCTCCTAAGTTTTTTTTTTTTCTAAACAGTTGATGCATTGAGCGTTTTTAGATTGTGTGAATGTGTGTGATCATGTGTATGCGTTTGTATGTGTCTATGTGCGTGTGTGTATTCGTTGTGTTGTGTGCGCATGTACTTTTATTCATGCTTCCATTGCATTAATAACACATGTCTGTGTGTTTTAAAAAAATGGACCAAACTATCATTTCCGAGAAGGTTCTTTGCGCACTCAGTGAGTGTGTCCATTCGAACAGGATTTGATAGAATTGACATTCTTTTTAGATCGCACATATTGTGTTGTTTCATGTGACAGTTGGTTGATTCAGGAACTATGCTATTGAGCTCCCCCCCATGCTAGGCAGGGGATGCGGTAGCATAGGGTTTGGATCAATTAACTGTGACACATTTTCATCATGCTATGCATTCATTTCATTACCACAGTCGTATATGCAGCATAAGTATGCATTCTTCATTCAATATTTAGTTCATCATATCATCATTATGCTTCATCTATGCATAACATCATCCGGCATATGCATTACGGAATTAACCGTCACCTGTGTCATAGTACACATCATTTCGGCAAAGGCGAACCAAGAAATGAGAAGGAATTTGGTACGGCACGTGCTAAATACATAACAGTCAAGTCACTTAGTTACCGACACTACAGTTGATTTTTTCATCCTTATTTTTTCAATGCACAGAGGATGAAAAAAAAATTGTACATAACGATCGTAATAGGTTGCTTCGCAACCCAAAAAAAATCGATTTCAGTGGTGGGGCCTAGGAAGCGTTCCCACTAGGGAACCTGCTCTATACCATGTGAAGAAATGAGGAATGAATGAACTAGCAAGTAGGTGGGTACAAGTGTTGTACCCCATATTGTCTACCCCACTACAGCCCACAAACTGTAGCATATAAGTTCGACATGCTCACATCAGCGTAACCCTAATTCCTCGCAATCGCTAGAAATGCCCAAATAATCGACCATACCGGTAGCGTTTGGTCGTAACAATTTTACACGCCCTTGGGGCGACTAAAATCCTAGCGAAGGCCCTGGTTGAAACAAACAGGATGCTGTTCTGAAATATGTGGCGTGGCGTGGTATGGAGTGATTTGTCACAAGTTGCAGAAATTGCAGAGAAAACCATGAAAGCTAACCTCCAAACCAAAGTTCCAAGCTGACATCCCCCTGTCCTGTCAGACTAAAAAGAAGAAAAGAACAAACAAAAACTGCAATTGTATGGTCAGATCAGGGATTTTTTGTCTTTCAAGGCTGCCGAATCATACCCTGAAGCACCACCTCTCGCTCCAGCACCTCCTCCCACATTCCCCGCTGCTTTTGCCGCCACCTGTCCCGCCAGTAGTGCACCTCATGCCACATACCAAAAGCAGCACCAGAGCCCACCTCTACTCTGTTCTCTGTTTCTCCATCGTCCCCTTCCCCTGTAACCCCACCAATCCCCCAAGCACTATCCCTGTCCCTCGTCCCGACCTTCCGCAACAGCCCCACCCATGTCTTCTCCCCATCCCCCCTCCCTTCTACCCGTCTGCTCCTCCTCCCACGCTCTCTCATTCGGAATTGGGCCGTCCGATCCTCCATCTGGACTGAACGCCCAGCCCGAGCATGCGCCGAACCTTCTCGCAGTCTCAAATGACGGCTAGGGATGGCATCGTCCCCACAGCACCGGACACCCAGTTAGCCGCAACCCTCCGCCTCTTTCTTGAAAGGTTCTTCACGAGTGTGATTCGTCCATTTCCCACCGGTCCCTCTCTTTCACCCTCCCTGCTGCCTCTTTCTCCCCTCCACTTTTCTTGTCTTCCGTTTTCCAATTTCCTCTCCTCGTCTCCCCTTTCCCTATCTCTCCATTTGCCTCCTCCCCCAGACTTCGTTTCCTTCTCTTTTGGCCATCCCCTTTATACCTCGACCTGCTATCAGCCCTTCGCTTCCCCGCAACCATACCCCCCCCTGTCCCATCCTGGTACTCGCACAAACCACTTGCTTTATTATTCTCAAATCAATTTGGGAATAGCCCATCTTCTCCTTACAGCCGCTACCCCTTCTCCTTGGTTCTTCGCTGTTTCTGCATCGTCCCCTCCCCTTCCCCTCTGGCCCAACCAATCTCCCGACCTATCTCCCCACCAATTTCAATGTCCCAAGGCCGGTACCTCGCCCTGTCTTCCCCAACTGCTCCACCGTTCCCCACTCCGCCTCCCATTTCACTACTCTGCCCCTCCTGCGACGGTCCCTCGCTCGAAATTGGCCCGCCCGAACCTCGATCCGGACCAAACGCCCAGCCCGGGCCTGCGCCGGACCTCCTCCCAGCCTCAAGCGGCGGCTCCAGGCTTGAGAGAACACCGGAGCTGGCAGCTAGGGACGGAATGTTTCCCACACCACAGGTCACCCAGTTCGCATAGCAGCAACCGTCCACCTCTTTCTTGGAAACTTTTGTCTGCAAGAATCCTCCTGCTTTCAGCATTGCTGATTCCTCAGCATTCCAGCATAGTTCCAGACTAGCCACCTGAGAGCCTGGGGTGGGATGGAAAACAAGGGAGGGGAAGGGGGAAGGACAGATGAAGAGGTGGGTGGCCCTCTGCTCTGCATCCCCATTGCCTGCCAGCACGGCTGCCTGCCTGCTACAATAGCCAGGTGCGCGGACTAGCCAGCCCAGGGCCTGAAATGGAACGGGGAGATAGTAAGGGGGAAAGGGAAAGGGAAAATGGAGAAGAGAAAAATATGTGTGCACCTTGGTCTTGGCCTGTTGACTCTCTGACCCCCCGTTGACTTTCTCTGACCCCCGTTGACTTTCTCTGACCCCCTGTTGACTCTCTCTGACCTTCTCTTTCCTCCCAACCACCATCCACAACCTTTCCTCTCACCTGAGTGACAGCCAGTCGCAGCCCTGGAAGCCGCAGGCGCAGCACCTGATGGCCCCTTTCTGTCCTCCCTCCTGACCTTCCTCCTTCTCCCACCACCCTCCCTTCTGCACTGACTCTCCCCCCCTTCCTCTCTCGCATCACAACTTCCATCCACATCCCTCCATTTACACCCCTCCATCCACACCACTCCCTGTCACCTAAGTGACTGCCGGTCGCAGCGCAGGCAGCTGCAGCAGAGAACTGAGGGGGGGAAACGAAGGATGGTATGAGGGGGGGAAACGAAGGATGGTGTGAGGGGGGGGTGCCAAGGCTGTGCAGGCGAAGGGAGGGAGAAGGAAGAGTGCCGCAGGCAATGGGGGGCAAGACCACCACCCCCAACAACCCCCCCTCCCCTTCCCCCACCACCCCGCTGACCAATGAACAGGCAGTATATTGGCAGGGAATCATTAATGATCATCTCCGTTATAAACACCTTCGTTATCAGCCTTACTCACAGTGCCTGGCATCCACCAGCAGTCTTGGAATGCCCACGTGAGCCGCCACCCTCACCACTGACCGACCCTCAACGCATGACTGGCAGTGGCGGCAGCGCATGACTGGCGGAGCACAAACCGTGCAGAACCTCAGCAGCATCCACATGCAAATGGTGCAAGGCGTGCGGAATAGGGTATGCTATGTGTGTTGGGATATGGCTGACCGACCGACCGACCGACCGACCGACTGACTGACCGACTGACCGACCGACTGACTGACCGACTGACTGACCGACTGACCGACTGACTGACTGACCGACTGACCGACCGACTGACTGACCGACCGACTGACTGACCGACTGACCGACCGACTGACTGACCGACCGACTGACTGACTAACTGATGATCACGGTGGGGCAACAAGCCTGGCTAGCGGAGCACGAACCGCACAGAACCCCTCAGCAATTCCATGACATGTAAACAGCTAGCCCGTGGCAAGTGTGTGACATGACATGGCATAGCATGCGAGACTTGCCTGTCATGACTAAGAATCACACACTAAGCATGACTGACCGACCTGTTCAAATCATCATGGCTGCATATGATTGGCTGAGCACGTGGAGGGGCAGAGGAGGAACCACGTGGACGTGGGGAGGCCTGGGGGAGGGAGTGAGGGAGGGAGGCGGGTTGGGGGAGTCGGGGGGAAGGGGAGGAGGGTTTACGGATAAATTTATATTACGAAGGGAATGGCTGGCGGAGTACGAATGGGGGGAGCGGAGGCACCACGTTGGGTGGCCTGAAGAAGGGGGGGGGGGAGGAATTGGGATGAATGTTAGGACCCAGCCATGCCATGTGACTTGGAAGGGAAAAAAAAAAGAATGGAGTCTGAACTGAAACCCTTGTGGGGTGGCATGGAGATGGGAGTCGGGGAGAGAGGGAGGGAGAGGAAGAGGAGAGAGGGTGTGGGAGGGGAGACACCGGGAAAACTAGCATGCCTACTAATATTGTTTTTTTCGCTCAATAACCTCTCAACCGCTCTAGAACGTAAAGCACCTCACTCAGCCGCATCGCATAACTTCACTTCACGTGAACGTTTTGGACACGCTTTGAGCATAGCTCCTCCCACAGCACCCATTCCAGACCCACGAGCCACGTCACCCAAACGTACAGCTCCGAACCTCCACCGCCAAACCTACCAGAAGCCCGGGTCCTGCAGCTGCACGGCGAGCATGCCAGCTGTCACGATCTGCCATCCCACAGAACCTCTCAGCAATCCCATCACGTGCAAATGGCTAGACTGAGGCAAGTGTGTGACATGACATGGCACAGCATGTGTGTTGGGCCAAGGATGACTGACCGACCTTATGATCCAGCAGCATGTGATTGGCGGAGCATGAATGGGGTGAGCGGAGGTATTCGAGAATTATTCGATATTCGTTCGAATACCTGAATTCCAGAGAAAAAGAAATGGCCGTGTATTCAAAAATATTCGCAACACGAGTATTCGTGGATGTAGAATCTTCGGCTAACGGATATTCGGGGTATTCGTTACTATTCGGTATTCTACCATTAACGCCCCACCCCCCCCTCCCCACATGCGGCTATCATATTTGGCAATCTGTCTACAAGAGGCCTCATGAGAACCGTGCTCAAAAGCCTAGCAAGATAGTTGCTGGAGCGGGATTAGGGAAAGTCTTGGTGCGGGATTGAGTCGTGGTGTTGATATTATAAGGTGCATTGTATCACCCTGTGTCGAACATGCATTAGCCGTTCGACACTGGCAATACAAAATATATTATAAATCGACACTTCTTTGTATTCGATTCGAGTTCGGCAGTATCCGAATCGTAGTCGCATTCGGTTTTGGGTCAGTATTCGGTCAAATAAGAAACCACCCAGTATTCGGAGAATATACAGGAAAAATATTCGTATTCGTATTCTTTTGTACAGGCTTAGCCATGTGGAAAGGAAGGAGAAAGGAATCTAGGGATGAATTTAAACCCAAAACCCAAGCGGCTTGGCATGGTGGTGGTGGGATTGGGGGAAGAATGGAGGGAGGGAGTCTAGGACGGCAATAGTCTACTTGCTATCGCCTATCGTGTTCTCTCACGACCTCACGAATCCAATGATATGCGCAGCTCTGCTTGAAGTTGTCAATACACACTTCAGCAAATTTCAGAATCTCCAAGTGATTTCCAGAATGAGCACAAACAGATTTATAGTCACGCAAGACACAAAACGCGTTTCGTAACGTAACTTGTTTCGCAACAATCTCGAGCGCGCCTCGTTTCACCCCGAGTCGGACACGGAACCGAACCGAATTCACTGAACACTCCTCGAGTTCGAATCTGGAAATTTCTCGAACACGCCTCAGTCTCGAACCACAATTTCCCCCCGCCGATCTCATTCTCGATGCTTTTCCTTCTCTCTTCCTCCTTCTACCTCATTTCTTCTCGATTTCTCTCCCGCTTCTCACGCCGTAGCTTCTATTCCTCACCGTAGGCCGATTTCTACCGTCTTTAGTCTAGAATGTCCGTGCGCTTCCATTCCGCTGTCATTCCGCATTTCGCCGTAGGATTCGTGGTTCGTCGAACCATCCCTAACAGGGAGGGAGGCAGGCAGGCAGACAGGAAGGGAGGCATGCAGGGAGGGAGGGAGGGAGGGAGGGAGGGAGGGAGGGAGGGAGGGAGGGAGGGAGGGAGGGAGGGAGGGAGGGAGGGAGGGAGGGAGGGGGGAGGAAGGGAGGGGGGGAGTGAGTGAGGGAGGGAGGGCGGAGGGAGGGAGGGAGGAAGGGAGGGAGGGAGGGAGGGAGGGAGGGAGGGAGGGAGGGAGGGAGGGAGGGAGGGAGGGAGGGAGGGAGGGAGGGAGGGAGGGAGGGTGGCAGGGAAGGTGGGAGGCAGGGAGGCAGGGAGGGAGGGAGGGAGGGAGATGAGAGAGGGGGGGGGATGGGAGGAACCTAAAAGCGAACATGCCTGGGCATTGTTCCAAGTGTGTATCCCAAATTTTGTCTCCACTCAATGCCCCACTCAGCCACTCTAGAACGTGAAGCACACGCAGCTGCATTCAGATCAAGTGAACTTTTTGAAAACGCCCTGAGCATAGCACCCATCCCAAACCCACGTCACCCGCACGAATGGCTCCGGACCAGCATCCCCGAACCCCCACCCCCGAACCTGCATCCCCGAGCCTGCACCCCCGAACCTACCAGAGGTCCGGGTCCTGCAGCTGCACGGCGAGCATGCCAGCTGTCACGCACGTCGACAGAGGCCGGAGCCTGATCTGCCCTGCTGCCACCTGGCAGTTCAAAACGCAAGATCGGAATGAAGGAGAACGGAATAGGGTTTGCGGTTTACATGTTACAAAAGAATGAATACGTGAATATGAGGAAATGAGGACACGACGGGTGGAAATTTAATTACCGTATTTCACTCCTCTCAGTACCACCCATCAAGCTCTCCCTCACAAGGCACAGTAACGAATCACGAATCGCAATAGATACGGCTACACCTGCTACCTACCACGGCGGGTCGATCCCGAAGGATCCCAGCAGGCTCGCCCTCACCGCCTCTTATTCCTCGTCCTATGAGACGCGAAAATTAGTAATAACAACATCAAAGCTACCCGGTCGATCCTGAAAAGAATCACCGGTCGGGGCGCCGGGGCCCAGCAGGCTCGCACATGGCATGTGGCGCAGCGATAGAGAAATCATTCTACCCTGTAACGTATGCGATTGTAAAGAATGCCATTTGAACGAATGATGTTGTGTGACGATCTGCTGTAGGAAACGCGATACCAATATCGGCTAGTGCTAGCCTGGCGGGTGGCCGCAGGTAATCAAGTTGAAGCTGCTAGGAACTTCTGAGTCGATTAAAACGTAGTTGCTAGCCGCAGTGATCTGTTAACATATGTAGGAACATGGCGCTCCTCGTGACATTCAGCTATATTGCCCTATGTGCTCCGTACTACACCTAACGCGTCCTGAAGGGCTATATGGTTCCTAAAGAGCCAAAGCGGGCCGCTTCTTGACGTGCGAGCAGAATGAGTTTTAGGCGACCTGGGTGGAATAATGTCGGGAGAAAACAACAAAACGTGGGTTTCAGCTTTGGCTCAACTGTGTTGAATCAAAGTACTGTAACAGAGCTAATGCACCGCACTTGACCTTTCACAAATCTTTTCTCTCAAATCTTCCTCCGCGCTGCTGAATTTGTCAACCCCTGTGCCTTACCTAAACTGCCAAACCTTACCTACCCAAACCCATCCCCGCCCCAACCAAAGTCCGTGACCAGTTCAGACCAAACCGGACCAGCCCAAACCAGCCATACCAGCCCAAGCCAGACCAAGCCAGCCAAATAAAACCGAACCTAACCAAACCAGCCCAACCAAACCAACCATAACTCAACACAACCCATAGCTCCAACCACCTGCCGTTTCTGGTTAGTAGTTCCTCACGGTAGCGATGCCTCCCCAAACCCCTTTCCCTCCAATCCCCTTTCTTCAATCAACCCAACCAATCTGAACTCAACTCAACCCAGCCAACCCGCAACTCAACCCCTTCCACACCATACACCCCCGCCTCTTGTGCGTCTCTGGAAGGGTGAATGCATACTTCCTATGCCAACCCAACACATCGCTCGCACTGCCGTCTTACGTTTAGCACGCGTCGCCAAAAATTAACAAACCCCGCGTTGATTGGCTCAATATGTTATGTGGACAGTGGTCGGCGCAAAAATCGCATAGCACGTGCTGGGTGCGTCTTCCGACGTGGCAACTGCCATGTAGGACACGTTTTGGGCGGATGTCGGATGATCACTCACCTCCAGGAACACTCACGCCATGTTATCTTGAAAACTCGGCTGGTATGGCTTCTTTTCCTATTCCTTCATTTATCTTCCTCGCTGGAAACGCATTTCAGGTTTCACTCTAATCTTGGTAGCTTTTGTCTCCTCACGGGAGCAATTTCGGGAAGCTAAAAGT